GCTGTGGCGGGCGCTGCTGCTGGCCCTGTCGCTGCTGCTGCTGTCCCTGCCGCTGCTGCTGTCCAGGCGGTGGCAGCTGCTGAGAAGCCGGCTGCTGCTGCTGCTGGAACCCCTCACCACCAGTGAAAACTCCACCGTCGAGAGGAGGGCCGTCAGGTCCCGAGCCACCCCCACCACCTGCTCCACCACCACCGCCACTACCCGCACCACCTCCAGTACCCCCGCCGCCCTTCCCGCCCTTCTTACCGGCCTTGCCACGTTTCTGTCCGCCAGAGACAGAAACAGCCGCCGTCTCCTCAGAGGCAGAAGACGCGGGGGTGGCAAGGGAGGCAGTGAAGGTGGGAAGCTGTGGTACCGCACACCCCTCAAAAAGACGAGGAGGAGGCGCGGAAGAGGCAGAGGCAACAGCGAGGAGGTTACTCTCGATCTTCGAGAGAGCAGTCTCAAGAAGATCGATGGTAAGCTCAGTGGGGTGCTTCAGAAGAAGCGCGTCGCGGGCTGTGGCTAGGCGGTCAGGGAGGCGAGTGACTAGCCAGTGAATAGTGAGCCACATAGGGGGCGGGGCAAGGGCAAGCTGGTCCTCAGTGCAAGCAGCGCGAAAGCGAGCGTCAAGGGAGCGAAGGTGGGTAACGAGGTCAGAGACAGTCTCAAAGGAGGCGAGGTCAGGGTAGATAAAGGGGACGAGGAGGCGACTGAGTGAAGCAGAGGAGGGAGTGGAGTAGCGATCAACAATAGCCTTATACAGATCTGCAGCAGACTCGACCTGAGTGAAGTGGACTGCCTCTGTCGGCGGGAGAAGGTCGGTCAGGGCGAGGCAGGCAGCGGCGTCACGAGACTCCCACACGTCGCGAGCGAGGAACTGGCGCCGGTACTCGGCCTCCTGCTCAGGAGTAGGCGGTGGGGTAGTGGGCAGCGGGCTAGGCTGCGGAGGAGCGGTCTGAGTACCGGACGCGTGTGCGAACAGGTGCACGCCATCCTGCCGCTGGCTCTTAAGGTGGCGCTGCGCCTGCGTAAGCCACGTACTAAAGTCTATGGGTCTCCCCTCAGGGTCAAAACGAAGTACTCGGGAGGTCGCCATAAGGGGCGAAAGTGGGAGAGCGCGGCTGCCAGCCGCGGGAGGGTGAGACAGTCAGTGGCGTGTGGGCAGGCGCGCAGGCGTGCAGGCGATCTGGTTGGCGGGCGGCGCGGCGCGCTGGCTGGAGAGCGGCGCGGCGCGCTGGCCGGCGAGCGGCGCGGCGGGTCTACGGGCGGGCGGCGCTGCGCGCTGGCGGGCGCGCTGGCGTGCGCGCTGGCGGGGCGCGCTGGCGTGCGCGCTGGCGGGGCGCGCTGGCGGGGCGCGCTGGCATACGTGCTGGCGTGCACGCTGGCGTGACGCGCTGGCGTGCGCGCTGGCGTGACGCACTGGCGTGCGCGCTGGTGGGGCGCGCTGGCGTGCGCGCTGGCGTGCGGGCTGGCAGGGCGCGTTTGGCGTGGCGCGCTGGCGGGCGTGCTGGCTAAGGTGCTGGCGGGCCTGCTGGCTAGGGCGCTGGCGGGCCTGCTGGCTAGGGCGCTGGCGGGCCTGCTGGCTAGGGCGCTGGCGGGCCTGCTGGCTAGGGCGTTTAGGGCAACCGTTGACAGGGGGGGCACCAAGGCTAGAGACGAAGTTTAGGAAGGGCGGCGACTAGGTGTGGCCTAGGAACGGCGAACCTACTGCTGATACCATCTTACAAAGTGAAAACAACGGAATGAGTTAGATTGATTGTGTTGGGGTACAAATGCCTAACCCTAACTGTTTGTACCCCATATAGCATGACCCACTAGAGGCTATAACATTTGACGGTCTGTTTGGCCAGGGTAATTTTTTTAAAATGCTGATATCTATAATGCCAAAATTATTAGGGATAATACTTAGTGGCTCAGTTGGTTGAGATACAGGGTAGATTTGAATGGTCACGGGTTGAGTCTCGCAGTTGGGAAAATTTTGCAGGAGACCATATAGGGTTTCGCCTCGCTACCGAGCATTCGGTATCAGTGTAACTGGGATTGTACACTGTACAGTCAGAGAAAAATGTTCCTTACGCTGTTTTTCAAAGGGTACAAAAAAACTTACACTTTCTGGCCTAGGGTAAAAAATCCACTACCCTGCCTGTGAAAGGGTAACTGAAAAAAAGCGGCCGCCAGTCAGTGCAAAAAGGGTATTTTACCCTGATAACGAGAGGCCTGGTGTAGAGGTTAGGGGCAATCGTATAGCGAGGGGGTACCTTCTAAACGGTTCTTTGTTCATTTATAAGATTTATAAGACACCCTAAACCGTCCCAAATACAAGACAACCCAAGCATTTTTGCCCGTGTACGAGATAAGACATATATGCAGGGCCCAAAATATCAGGGTAAAATACCCTTTTTGCCCTTTTTTAGGCCGCTTTTTTGGAGTTACCCTGATCTAGACAGGCTGTCTTCGGTTACAATTACGTCAAATTAATGATATTTTTTCACCCTTACAAATTCAGTGTAGGCGTTTTGTTACCCTGTGTAGAAAGGGTGGGATCTGAGTTACCCTGAAACCGAATCTCCCTTAGCGAAGATTCGCCCGAATTCACTGCACCCCACACGTAACGCCCTGCCGTGTTGCGCTGTGCACCCAACGTGCGGTGGGCATAATTTTCCCCCGCTGCGCGAGGCCCGCCATTGGACCGATTGGCAACATATCTGCCACCAAGGCAGATATGTTTGCCAGCTTTACTTGGCAGTGCGCCAACGATGCTGTAGGTCCACAGCCATACAAGGATCTGCCAACACCACAGCATGTTCACGTGCTGCACGAAGCTGAACCATGCATGCACCGGCGCCTCGTGGGTGGTTGTGAGAGGAAAGGACCCTCTCGTGCTCGCATCGTTCTACCCTACTCGTCTCATTGTTCCACCTCCACGCCTGCCTCTCCCGCTTACCAATCATGCCTGCCGAGCAAGAACCAGTTGATCCACCAGAACCTCGCCGAAATGGCCTCTCCGTGCTCGGCGTAATGCCGCCACTGTCTCAGAACTATAGCTCTCCCGTCGAGCAAGTGCCTCGTGCTCCCTCTCCCGTGCGACACGTTGGTACCGTACTGTGTATCCGTTTGAGCCTCCTAACTCACCCACTGCTTTCGAGCCACACCCATCTATTGTCCTTGTTCTAGGAGGTGGCTTCAGCAAGCAGAATCTGATCAAAACCTGGGACCGCGGCAGCATCTCTGACAGCAGTCTCGACTATCTTATGCGCTGCTCCTTGCTCCAGTATGAAATAGACTGGTTTGAGGTGGTGGCGATTTTCAGGGGGGAAAAGCTCAAGCGCCCCACCAAGGACTTCACTGGGATCAGGGAGAGCGACACGTAGTTTGTGGGCGACAGTGGTGGTTTGCAGAGTAGCTTGCCTTCTACTGAGTAGTGAACATTGTATGTGAGAAGCACTGTTACAATTGAATAGTTTGCTGTAGTTATACTGGACAGTCAGTGTAACGTAGATTTTACCCTGCTAATCAGTGTAAGGAAAAAGTTACGCTGACGCCATCAGGCTGCAAAAAAAATTACCCTGTATTCAGGGCTGACGTTTCGTATTAGGCCCCCCTGATTCTGGGGAAAAATTTTCCCCTCTATTATGAGTGCACATTTTTCAGAATGATGCTACCCTGATCGCTCAGGGTTGAAAAGTATATAACTCTGATTGTTCAGGGTCGAAAATCGAAGTTCAGAGTAGTAACGCGATCCTTATTACAGGGGAAAAAGCATTGCTCTGCGTTAAGTGCGCTCTGTGTTTCGCTTACACTTTGAGCGCGCTAATTTTCAACCGTTTAGTTTTACAAAATAGTATTTATCCATACGTTTAGTGCGGGGAAGGGATGAGCGATTTTGGTCAACAAAACATTTCGATTCGATACCACAGATGTGCGGGTAGACATGCGGGTTTAGAAAGTGGGTTTAGGGGGGGAGGTTTGGTTCGATGGGAGTGCAGTTGGGGTGCTTTGATGGGAGGGCTTGATGGTGTTTTAAATGTGTGTGCTATTGGGGTTTTCTTGGGGTTGTGTGTGCTGCTTTTTCTTCCTTCTTCCCTGTTTTTCTTCCTCCTATCATTTTTCCCCTATTCCCCTCCTTCTTTCTTCCTCTCTCCTTTTTTCTACTCACGTTATTCCTCCTTTTCTCCTCTCTTCCCGTTTCCACTCCTTTTCCTTGCGTAATTATGCTACATTGTAATAGATAACACCTAATAAAGTCAAACAGATGTGCCAAATTTTTAATTCGTCGAGTACCTAAATGTCCTCAACATCGCTATACAAAACGCAAAAAAATTCTGGTAACTTCACGCATTCGCAATTACGACAGAACAACAACTTATTTCGCACTTTGTAAAAGTAACAAATATCGAGTGTATTCGCCTGTCAGACATGCTGCTGTCCGTCGCTCACGCGCTGGCTGTACTGCGGTCAATTCGAAGGGGGACTATCGGAACGAAAGTTCCGAGAAACTTCCTACCGATAAGGTCAGACACTGAACGCGTACTCTACATTGACAGAGTCAGTAAGAACACTACTCTGAGCCTAGATACAATATTTCAGGGTTCGCTAAAGCACTATTCTGAATGGATCAGTGTTCACAAGTCAGAAATTCTGAAATTGCAGGGACCACCAAGTGAGAAGCCTGTAATCACCCTGAAATCAGGGTAATTACCCTGATAAAATCAGCCCTGCCTGTATTTGTCAGCCTAGCGGAAAAATTACCCTAGGGAGTCAGGGTGAGATGGGGTTCAACTCTGTTCAGACAGGGTGAGCCTAGACCAAATTTGGGCCCTGCATATATGTCTACTATCCGGGCGATGACGGTACTATGTGTTAAGCCTGCATTCCTTCCTTAGACATTCAGCGTCACAACAGATTGGGACGTGCAGAAACTGCATATATAATAGGTGTCCGAAACAACAGCGAATGTGCACTAAGTACTTTTTTAATTGGCTGCTGTGAATTCCATACCTACCAAGTACCTATCCGCCTTACACGCCCTTGCGCTGCCGCTTGCTGTGCTGGGTCCAGTGCCTCTTGCGCTGGTTGATAAACCAGTTGTTCACCTGCCGCGAGTCCAGCCCCGTCTGCCCCATCAGCTGCAGCTTCTCCTGCTCCTGCGCTCCGGTAAGGCACACAGCAACACATTCAGGGAAGGAACACAGCAGAGAAAAACATGATGAGTACCTAATCAAGTCTGGCGTTGCTGGTACGGTGGTTGTTCCACCAGCCTACATGCTTTTCCGTGATCCTGTCTGGCAGCTTCCCATGCCAGCCCACCAGTTGCCTCGTTGCCAGAGCGGTGACGGTTGAGTCGGGTCAAAAGAGATGACTTGTCAGTCGACTCAGAAGTCAACATGCTTCCCCGTGATCCCGTCTGGTAGCTTGCCCATCTTCCCATGCGCCAGCCCACCAGCTGGCCTCATTGCCAGCGGGTGACTGTTGAGAGACGACTCAAGAGGTTACTTTTCAGTTGACTCAAAAGTCACCATGCTTCCCCGTGATCCCGCCTTGCACCTTGCCCATCTTCCCGTACGCCAGCTCAGCAGTTGTGCCCCTCACATGGCCCCTCACATGGCCCCACACATGGCCCGTCACATGGCCTGTCACATGCGTCACACACTTGCCCATATCACTTCACCACAAGCATGGTCCACACCCACCTGCCACACTAACCACTCACAGTTGGGTACGGGCAGCTGACATGCTCGGTACATGCACACCTGTCACTCACCTGTCATTCCACCGCGGACCTGCCACTCACCTGTCACTCCACCACACACCTCCACCACACACCTGCAACTTAAACCACACGCTCCACACTCACAGTGGGATACGGCCAGCTGACATGCTCGGTCCACCAGCACAGAAGCTTCCCCGTGGCTTCCTCGGGCAGCTTGCCCTTGGCATGCTTGGCCACATGCTCCGCACTCACCGTCCGCAGGAACCCCCCAAACCGCCCCCTCACCGCCCGCTCCACCTGCTCCACGCTCTCTATCTCTTCTTCCTCACAGTCTAATCCTCTCAAAATCTTTCCCTCACAGTCTGCATCCTGGTCTCCCTGAGCTGCATGATATGCAAGACTTGGGCTTGTGCTGATGTCAGCCATGATGTCATCATACATGTCATCACTGCTGCTACTGCTGCCACCACTGCTTCTACTTGCAAGATTTACAGCAGCACCAGCAGCAGCAGCGGCAGCGGCAGCAGCAACAACACCTCCACCTTCATCAGAATCAGCAGAAGCAGGAACACCATCAGTCACAGTAGTAGCATCACCAGCAGCAGCACCATGAGCAGCAGCGTCCGCGCCACCCCCACCAGCAGCAGCATTCAGCGGAATGCTTTTTTCCATGTCCACAAGAAAATGCTCGGCAGCAGTGTGGGCTGCGAGCAGGCGAGTGTGGCATGCAGCGAGAGCTTCAGAGAGAGACGCCTGTAGGAAGGATGTGTGGGAAGGGATGAGGAGGTGTGGGAAGGGATCAGGAGGTGCAGGAAGGAATGCGCAGGCGAATGCGGCAAGAAGCGAGGGCTTCAGAGAGAGACACTAGGAACGATATAGTGGGGCCATGCCATGGCAATAGCATGGGCGGCTTCTGAATGTTTCGGTAGCGATATAATGAAAGGGGGTTGGGTGATGGGGGAAGGAAGGTGGTAAGGCTGGCTGGCATACCCAGGGAATGACAGGGAGCACAGAAAGACGCACTCAAACCCAGACAAGACAGGAGGATACGCACCATCAGATCGGAAGGTGGGAGGGGGTGGGGGGAAAGGAGCGGAGAGGGAGCGAGGAGCGAGGTGGGAGAGTGGAGGGCCAAGAGGATAATTACCATCAGAGTGGAAGGTGGAAGAAAATGGGGGAAACGGAGGTCGAGAGGGAGAGTGGAGCGGGGTGGGAGAGTAGAGGCTCAGGAGGATACGCACCATGAGATCGTGAACGCCAGCCACGCCGTCCGCCTCGAGAGCTGCCTATAAGTCTGCACTGCACCCACTCCCACCGCACTTAACCCATTGGCGCCCCTGATTCGCCCCCCCAGTGGAGGAGGATACTCACCATGAGATCGTGAATGCCAGCCATGCCGTCCGCCTCGAGAGCTTTTTCTACTAAGTCTGCGTTGACTTCCCCCCACCCCTGTCCATCGGCGCCCACTGATTCATTGATAGGTGCCATTGACCTTGCGTCCCCACTGACTGGTTGGGTCGGGGCCTCACAGTTGCTGCCCGTCTCGCACCCATCAGCACAGCCTCGTTTCAGCTGATAGGTACTGTTGGCGTATTTCAGCTGAAGCGCAGCCACAGGATCAAACCCATCAACGGCTGCCAGTAACTCAGGAGACGCTCCTATCTGGCGAAGTGAGGGGAGAGAAGCCAAAGTTGAGAAGGGTGATGGGAAGGGGTAGGGGGAGAGGGAGTGGAGCGGGGAGAGGGAGTGGAGCGGGGAGGGGTTTTGAAAGAGCGTGGAATGTGAGATGAAGAATAGCTGTTGGAATTCGGAGAATGGAAAGAGGAAATTGAAATAGGTGCGGCATGCAGAGTCATGAGAGGCACACCTTGTGAGTCATGAGAGGCACACCTTGTGAGTCATGAGAGGCACACCTTGTGGCATGCAGCATAGGTGCGCAGAAGGGTCTGGAAGGCGGACAGATTCAGAAGACGCTGCTTCAGCTGCAGGTCACAAGCATGCTCGCGGGCCGCTTCTGACCCAGTCAACCTCTGAACCTCCTCCCCTAACAGCTTCGGCACTTCGGCTCCTAAGCGATTCGGCCCGTCCATCTGTGAGTGCAGGGGTTAAAGCTCCTCCTCTCTCTTTCTCTTGCTCCTGATTTCCTCCTCGCAAGATCCTGACTTTTATTATCTTCCTTCTATAGTTCCTCCTCTCGATGCGTGTTCTTGATTCGTCTTTCGGCTCCATTGCGGCGAAGGTATTGCCGAAATTCGCTACTACGTCGCCGAAATTCGCTACTACGTCGCCGCAATGATGATCTCTCTCAGAGCTTCGACGACGGCCGTCGAAATTCGTGCTGCCGCGCTGCGACGCAAGCGACATTTGTGTGGGGAGCTACGGCGAAGACCTTTCGCGCCGTGCTTGTGCTGTGATGTGATTGCCGTACCCGTAATCCGACCGTTGAGGAGCGAGCGCTTGGCAATCGCCTGACGTCAGCAAAAAGTCCCCCAGGTTCTGGTATAGCGGAATCGAAAGGGCGTGTGTAAGGGTGTAGTGGCGTCGCTCACTAAGAACCTCTTGCAATGCCGCTACCGTTACCTTATCACATACACAACAATCTTATAGATATGTGTGGGTAAATGTGGAGGAGTGGAGACATTTTGCATTAGATAAATACAAGCACAAACCAGCTAACCACGAACAACAAAAGAAAGCGCCCTATTTACCAATCATCCTCATCAGCATCCTTACAATTCATCATTTCCCCTCGAAAAAACCTTTTCCCTTGCAAAAATGTTTCCACATCACTCCAACATCGAAGCTCCTTCTGTGTGCAACCCTCAATATTCAATCTAACCAGGTTCTCAAACCTAGTGAGGAACACTGGAAGCACCTCCAACTTCCAGCAGTCAATCAAATCCAATCTTCGTATTCCAGAAAAGTGTAACAAAGCTCCTGGAAGCTCCGTATCTTGAATATTCACCAGCTGCATGGAGGTCAGACTCGGCGGACATGTCATTCTACCAGGCCTACCCCGAGCCTGCACTTGGAGGTTCGTGATTCGAAGCGTATGGAGCGACACAAAGCGAGAGAGGGACCACAGGTAGCACCTGGATATGGTAATGGTCAATCACCAAAGTGCGCAGTGATTGCAGAACAGTTAGTGCGACATATTCGGCGGGTTTATACGCTTTAAAGAAATTGATTTTCGGGCAGAGGGAAAGGAGTTTGTTGTGGCTGCGGTTATGTGCCCCCAGAAAATGGGTCAGGTTCGGAAGCTTTCCCAAGCCTTGCTTGCTGGTGAAGCCGAACCTGCCACCTACCCTCTGAAGCTTCAGGACGCGGAGGCTCGGGAAGAGGCAGACATGGTCAGGGATGTGCCGAGCCAAGGCAACGCCCTCCATGCTGAGACGGCGGAGGTTTGGCAGGTGCCAGGTATGGAGAGAGAGGAGTATCAAGGGGGAGGGTGGAGTGGACGAGGAGTAAGGGAAGGAGGAACGTGTAGCGGGGAAGTAGAGAGTAGGGCGGTTGTTACCATAAGTGTTAGTAAGTGTTGCAGATACAGCAGAGGGTAATTGTGTATAGCAGATGGAGAGGGAGTGTAATGAGGGCGGGAAAGGGGAGCGGTCCTGTAGCACTGCAAGAGCTCCTAGTGAGAGAGTCAATAGCGAGGATAAGTGAGGGATGACCTGATCTGGGTCTGAGGAGGTGAGGGGGAGGTGAAGGGTGGTGAGGTGAGGGGCAAGGGGGAGGAGAGCAGGAGGCACGGAAGAACAGGCATGGAGAGAGATGTTGGTGAGGTGGGGGAAGGCGGAGAGGAGGGAGTGGAGAGAATGGTGGAAGGTAGGGAAATTATTTCTGTTTTCTTGGTCATTGTCGTCCCCATTCGTCCGTCTGCTACCAATGAGCACATTACGACCAATGGAAACGCCGGTTCCAACAGACACTGCCGCACCAGCACCAGCACCAGCACCAGCACCAGCACCAGCCCTACCAAGACGCCCCGTTTCAATGCCTCCATTTCCACCCCCAGCAGCAGCAACAAGGGGAGGACAGGCGGTGAGCACTGGTGAGTGGAGAGCGAGGGATGTCAGGTGCGAGAGGGCGTGCAGGGAGGGTGGGGGCACGAGAGGCAGGGAGGAGGAGGAGAGGTGCAGCGAGCAGAGAGAGCGGTGCAGACCGGTGAAGATGTCTGGAGGGAGGACGAGAGCCTGTTGGTGCTCGTGTTGCTGCTGTTGACGGCGCTGTTGGTGGTGGTGCTGCTGCTGCTGCTGGTGCTGCTGCTGCTGCTGCTGCTGCTGCTGCTGCTGCTGCTGCTGCTGCTGCTGCTGCTGCTGCTGCTGCTGCTGCTGCTGCTGCTGCTGCTGCTGCTGCTGCTGCTGCTGCTGCTGCTGCTGCTGCTGCTGCTGCTGCTGCTGCACCGGTGGGTGTTGGTCCGATGGAGATGGCTGAAGGCGTGTAAGAGCGGCCCTGACCTCCATGTCGGGGCATGGAACCAGATTCAGTCGGAGGCTCGTGAGAGAGGAGAGGTGCTGGAAGGGACCAGGCGAGCACAGGGCTGCTGGGAGGCTCAGGGTTGCTGCTGGGATGCTCAGATGTTCATCTGAACGAGGAGGGCGTTGAACGGGACAAGCAGAGGGCGCAGTGTATTGCGGCGGGTCTGGGTGTGGAGAGAGGACGACTGGGAGTGTGAGAGAGAGGGAGGTGAGGGAGCGAAGGTGAAGGAGGAGGGAGGAAGGGAGATGGAAGAGCGGAGCAGAGAGTTGGGTGAGGGTGGTGAGGAAGGGGAGGAGGGAAGGGGAGGGGGAGAGGAAGAGGTACGTGCGTGTTGCTTGGAAGTTGAGTGAGCGGAGGTTCGGACATTTCCGAAGCAAACGCTCCAGGCTTGGTGAGAGGTCCAGAACGGTGGATTGTACTCCGTTTACCATGACTGGGGCGCTGTTGCAATAAGTGCTCTCTTGCTGCTCCTGATCCTGCTCGCTCCACTGCTCGCCCCACTGCTCGGCCTGCTTTCCTTCCTTCTCCTTCTTCCTCTCCCTCCTCTCCTCTCTCTTTCTCTCTGCTCTCTTCCTCTCCCTTTTATCCCTCTTACTCTCTCTCTGCTTCCTGCTCCCCCTCTCCTCCTTCCGCTCCTCTGCTCTTCCACCCTCTGCTCTTCCACCCTCCTTCCGCCTTATTCCCCCAATCCCTCTCTCTGCCTCCTCATCCTCCCATTCCCTCCCTTCCGCCTCTCCCTGTAACTCCCCACCCCCTTCCCCCTCCCTTCCCAGCTCTCCACCCCCACCTACCCCATTTCCCCTTTCCCTCTGCAAGCAGTCTAATTGAACGTGAAAGGTGCGTAGGCGAGGGCACAGGGAGGGGAGGGATGAGAGGAGGGAAGTGAGGTGAGCGGGGGAGGTGAGTGAGGGAGGGACGGGGAGGAGGAGGGATGTGAGGCTGGGGTAGTTAGAGAGGAGGAGGGGGAGGCGATGAGGTGACCAGGTTGGGTGGGAGGGGAGATAAAGGGGGATAGGGGAGGAGAAGAGGGAGAAAGGGGGAATGGAAGGGAGAGGGCAGGAGGAGAGGAGGGGGTGATGTGGAAGGTTGGGCGAGGCATCTATATGCGAAAACCTTGTTTCAGTCCTGTGGCTCCTGCTCCTGCTCCTGCTGTTGCTGTTGCTGCTGCTGCTGCACCTAGGGGGGCTGCTGTTGCGAACTGCAGGTCCATCCAAACCAGCATGCCTTGCACTGTCAAGTAAGCTGTTGCGGCCTTTGTGAAGAGGAGGCCATGATTGTAGGAGATAAATATCGTCCAGAAACCAAGGCGTTGGATCCTGCGAACGGAGGCTGACGGAATTGGGGACAGAGGTTGACGGAACGAAAACTGAGACTGACGGAAGGAAAACTGAGGCTGACGGTATTGAGCCGGATCTTGACGAGTTACACGTCACACCCGGCTCCCACGGGTTCATGAAACTACAGCTGCTCACGTCGCGGAAGAACGGCTGCCACGTCAGCGTTTCTAAGCTGAACACCAAAGAGAAGTGCGACGTAGATTCTCGGAAGGTTCGGTGCCAGAGGCGGCAAACGAGGGAGGCGGAGATGACGTCACGCGGGTCGGTGAGGTGACGTAAGACGCCAGCGAGACAGTCGCGAGTAAGGCGAGAAATTGGTGAGGAGGTATTGGGAATGGCGGGGGGATTATTGAGAATTCCTTCCCTATACACAGTGCCTTCATTATTTACACCGAAAGGAGAAGTAAGACCGTCAGGATAATGTGCAACGCTCGAACCGCCAAGACTGTTCATGTCGGTATGAGAGTGGAGGTGGTTACACGAGAAGAGGAACGAGGCGCCTAAGAAATCGTTTCGAAGCAATTAGGGTTCGTTGCGCTGCGTGAACCAGCAGGAGCGATTACGCGGATAGGGGTAATACTTGAAAAACAGGGTAGCTGTGACTACTAGAAGGCAAGAAATTTGGCTGGAAAGTCTCAGCAGAGCTGCTGGAAATGGCTGGATAAGAAAACTTGTTATGAGTTGTAAAAGAGAGTGCGCAGGTAAACGAATAACGAGGCTGTGACTGAATGAACTGAGAATACAATGAATGCACAGACTAATGTAGGGCTAGCCTAGCTAGGAGGGAACCTCGGACGAGCGAGGTTGGGTGCAGGTTTGGCGATGGGAAATGCCGAAGGCGACGCGAGGAGCCTCGGCAGCGTTGAAATCGGCCGAACGTGCGAAGTCCGAAAATCGGGTTGTACGCGAAGCAGTCAACCCCGATAAGGAATTCGGGAAAATTCCTTACACTACCTCCCCCCCCCCCCCCCCTTAGGAAAGGCGGTCAATACCCGAAACACGCAGATTCGAGGGACCGGGCAGGTGCAGGTTCTTCGTGTCGAGGAGCACTAATTGCCCAGTGGTCAAGACGAGTTCCCGGCGTAGCAGGTTGGTGTACTTGCGGGAGGTAATATTCGCCTTGCGAATTGCGTCTGCGGCTTTTTCGCGGATGTTCTGAAGTCCCGTCACAAAAGTCTGTGATCTTGGGACTGGGTTGTCGAGCGAAGTTGCCATGGGAACCGTCAGATCCATCCCGTAATTCAGGAAGAACGGGGAGTGATTAGTCGTGCTTGACGGTGCGTTGTTGAAGGCGAACTCCAACATGGCGAGGGAATCTTCCCATCGTGCGGGGTCGGGGCAGTTTGTCCGTATCAGCTGCTCCATGGTCTGATTGGTTCGCTCGGTTTGTCCGTCCGTCTGTGGGTGGTATGCCGATGAGAACTGTAGCTTCGTGCCGTACTGCGCCCATGTTTCCTTCCAAAATTTCGACGTAAACTTCGGGTCTCGGTCGCTGATGATCGCCGAAGGGATGCCGTGCAGTCGCACGACCGTTGAGATGAAGAGGCGCGCAGTTTCTTCGGCTGTGATTGTCGTTCGGCATGGGGCGAAGTGCGCCATTTTCGTGAAGCGATCGACGACGACGAGAACAGCGTCGTTGCCGGACGGCCCAGCTGGCATCCCTGTGACGAAATCCATCGTCACTTGCTGCCACGGTCGTTCGGGTGGCTCGAGGGGTTGCAGCAATCCGGCTGGCCGTTGACGTGTCGATTTCATGGCCTGGCACACCCTGCATGAGGACACATAGCGCTGCACGTCGTTAGAGGAGTCAGGCCAGTAATATTGACGGTGCAGTAATTTCTGGGTTTTGTCAACCCCGAAGTGTCCGGAGAAGTTCGAATCGTGGACCTCCTGGATGAGAAGTTCACGCAGCAGCCGGTAAGCGGGAACCCAAATCCGGTCGGTTCCGGCTTTTAGGTAATAATCCCCTTTCTGCGTCGTGGCCTGCTGATGATTTCCTGTCGTGAAGAACCAGTCCGTAGTGTAGCCGTGGGTGAATAGTCCGGTAAGTAATGGGTTCGAATGGGTGATAAGTACTGCAGCGGATTGTACGGTCGGTCTGGTCAGGGCGTCGGCGATGTTATTCGCCCCTTTCTTGTACGTGATGCGGTAGGTGAAGTGGCTCTCCATGTAGTCCAGCCACCGAATTTGTCGCGGGTTGAGGTTGGGCTGGGCTCGCAGGTACTGTAGGGACTTGTGGTCCGTGCGCACAGTGACGTCGGCGCCCACCAGGTAGCAGCGCCACAGTTTGAACGCGTGAATAATGGCGAGCATCTCCTTGTCGTGAATCGGGTAGTTGCGCTCGGCAGCTTGCAGCTTGCGTGATTCGTAGGCGATCGGCTGCAGCCCGTTCCCGAAATCTTGGAGTAGCACAGCTCCGATGGCGAAATCAGAGGCGTCGGTTACAACTTCGAACGGCTTCGATGGGTCGGCGATGCGCAGCACAGGAGGGGAAACGAGAAAATTCTTGAGCTCCTGGAAAGCCGCCTCTGCCTCCTCCCCCCACACGAAATTCTTGTCCTTGTGCAGCAGGTCGGTCAGCGGGCCGGTTATCCCCGCCATATTCGGGATAAACCGCCGGACGTAATTCACGAACCCCAGAAAACTCTGAAGTTCCGTGACATTAGTCGGGGCCTTCCACTCCTGGATGGTCTTGATTTTCGCCGGGTCGATTTTAATGCCGTCGCGGGAAATGACGTGTCCCAAAAACTCCAACTCCTGCTTTAAAAACTCGCACTTAGAGCCCTTGGTGATGAGGCGGTTCTCCTGCAACCGCTTAAACACTGCGTCCAGGTCGCGGAGATGCTGCTCCCGTGTCTTGCTAAAAATGAGGATATCGTCCAAATAGACGATGACACATCGGTCTAGAAGATCCCTGTGTCAGAATGAACGAACAGGAATGATGAACTAGCAGTGAAAATGAGTACAAGTACCTAACCCTAGAATTGTGTACCCCCTAAAGGCTAACCCACTGTAGCCTAAACAACCACAACATATATAATGTTTGACACACCCCCATAGGCAAAGTGGGGGAGAACAAGGGGTCACAAGACCAGTCAGAGCAAAGCAAAGCACAAGCAAGCTCAGGGTGGATCTCAAGGGATACCACACAAATTCCGAGCACAAGCAAGTGGTCACAAGACCAGTTCACATGCAGTTTGATAATATAGCAAGAGGTACAGTGATCACAACCTAGCAAGTGAAAGCATGCAGGTATATATATAGAGATCACAGTACAAGCAAAGTCAAGAAGTAAGCAAGTGAGGTCCAGTAGGCACAAGGCCTAGGAGAGTGCAGAAGCGCTGATGGTCACAAGGCTGAAGCGCCTTGGTGAACACGTCAGCAGTGTTGGCCTGAGTGGCCACGTAACGCAGACAAAGCTGACCACGCTGCTGCAGCTCTCGAGCCAGAAAGTACCGCAGAGCGATGTGCTTCGTTCTGTTCTCCAGTCTGTGCTCCTCACACAAGGCAATGGCAGCCTTGTTGTCGACGTACAGCACTGGAGGAGAACGAGGCTGCTCTCCCAAGTCGGTCAGCAGGTAGGTGAGCCAGCGTAGCTCCTGGGCTGCCATGGCTGTGGCGTAGATCTCAGCCTCACAACTGGAGCT